ATACTGTAATACTTTTATCATAAAAACAATAAGAAACATTTTAATTTTATTGTGTTACCATGCATAATATTTAAAATATTCCAAATGCGCAAATAAAAATATAAATAAGTGTCGATATATAGCTTTCAGACTGCTATATATATATACTACTTTGACCCCCACCCAACAGAATCTGAATCTATTTTGACTCTTTATGTATTATGTTCTAGCAATAAATGACAATAGTAATAAGTTTGTAAAAATAAATGAGAAGAAGAACCTGAACCTTAAAGAGAAAAACCTTATATTGGAACGTTAAATAACTAAATACAGAATCGAATCTAAATCGACTCGTAATCCGCCGTTCATAGTATACCCATGTAATTCCATTCTACACTTCTCCAATAAGGTATTATCGAAATCAACATAAACATCGTAATACGTTTTTATTGAATTGCAGGTACTTACTAAGGTGATTTACAATATCGTTAAATATCAAAATATATTCGACACTTTCGTAATTTCTTAATAAAGGCAGTTGCTGTTGTAAAAATTATTTTTTTTAGAAATGAGGATTTAGTGTAGCTTATCCCAGTCCAATAGATTATCAAAATTAAAATACTTGTTTATGTTGACTTTCGAACACGCACGTATCGCAATATCAGGTACTCGAAATAATCCTTACTTCTGTGTTGTGTTTAACGAAAATATGTTTTTAGAATTTTTGTACATACATCGTGTATGTAACAAATATTATTAAAATTGTTGGAAAGCAGAGAGAAAGAGAGAGGAAAGATAGGTACTTCATAAAACACATATGTTTATACTTTCAGTTATACATATATACTGATTTACAATGCATAAGGAAAGATCAGAGTGAAATCATGTAATTTGGGCAAACGGTTAGATATAATCTTTTCTCTCTACTCCCTTTTTTATAAGCTCAAAAGATTCTGCTTCTTAAATCCACATGAGGACGCGAGTCCTTGCATTATTGCACTTTTTATTGCGTTGACGGCGGAGGTGCAGGCGGCTCTTCGTTGGAGTCCTAAATAAAATTGATACATAATAATACTTAACAATTTAATGTTTGCATTCGCCGCTCAAGTTTAAATGACAATGCTTACACGCCCGTTATGTCGATCTTTAGCGTTGTCATTCCTCAGTGGACGAAGCGAGCGTGGTCTTAAGGCGTACATCACCAACACGAACGCGATAATTAAACAGGTCGTCAGGAAATTCGTAGACGACGACACGTTACGTGATTCCGGAACTGAAAAATTAGCTCACAATAACAAATAAAAAATCGTTGTTTATTTACATACTATTATCTGATTATTTTACATTACGTACATTGCGACAAGTTCAAACATTCCGTGTCCGAACAGTAATACTGATTCTGTCGCAACTGGAATAATAAAGTGTCCATGAATTTTTATGGAACAAATTACTGTAAAAATTTATATAAAATTAATTGTAACTAAAACGTTATCTACCAAATTATTTCGGATATAAAAACAATCAAATTTAAACAAATTTTAAATTACATGATATTGTAATGACTACAGTAACCTTTAGAATATAGTAAATATTCGCCATTAAGTGACTATAATCGCATTTTTCAAAACACTTGTGAAACATTCGATCGACTCTGTTTAAACAAAAAACTGTCGATTAAGGTGAATAATGTTATGATGAAGAAAAACTTGATGACTATAGCCACATTGTTTCTGTTGAGTGCAGAGTAAGTAAACAACCCACGTTTTCTAAACGACGCAATTGAATATCAAACACAAATTTCGATATACAAGATATCCTAATAATTTTTTAACAAAACAAGTTTTTCTATGTGAAAACTGGATTGTCGCCACTTACAATGGAAAACAATTCCTGCATAGCTAATTCATGATTCCATAAGTATTCGCAAACATCGAATTCTTTATCGCCCATCGTTACAGGTTTTCAATCAAAAGGTCTCCGTCTGAAACTAAAATGGTTTACTTAATAAATGTATTTATGCAATACATATAATCCTCTCAATATAAAAAAATATAGAAAGGCTGATAAATGAAAAGGAAATACGTATATCAAATTTGAAAAAGGAAATGGCCTTCCTTTACGAAGGAATTCTCGCTATTACGAGAAATTGCCATAATTAGGCGTGTGTCGTAACCAGTGTTCTCGACAGACGCATATAAACTGTGATTCCCTCTGCTTACCTATTTACTTGAACTGTCTTACATCCTATAAAATTTTTCAAATTGCAATTACCAAAAAATGTTTGAAATATCGACTATCTTTTTTGTCGTATAAAATCATACCAGTTTTTGGTTATTTTGTAATATGTTTAAATGACAGGACTAATTTAATTTTTTATTGTAATAAATTGTACTACGCAATAACATAGTTATATGAGGTTATTATATAGAATTATATAGAGATAAAAAGATAACGTATCTTATAAATTTATCTTTTTCTCGCAAAATATAATAATCTGATAGAATTTGATAAAAGCATTAAATTACAATATGTCAGACTTATTGTACGACTACAGTTAAAACGGTTCTATGGCTACTGCTAAAAAGGAAAGGAAGTACGTATACTATATCTTTCGGATTTATACGCTAATAGCAACGTAACGTTATTGGTACAGAAATTATAGCATGACGATAATTTAACTACAGTATACGAAACGAAAATTTTTAGTTTGCAATTTCGTTAAAAATTTTCGTCGAATTCTATATGTATTCTTATTGCGAACTACTTTTGAAACTTTTCATTCTATGTATTTTCTACATTTTTTCTTACTAACAACGTTCACAACTAATGCAGAATATTACATAAGAGTGTTTGACGTAAATTACTAATTTTTTACACAACATTGTCTATATAACAAATACACGTACATACGAGAAAACTAGTTTATACAGAGGACTTGTAAATCTTATGTTTACATATTGCTTAGTCCACGTATGCATAACGTCTTATGATTTTCAGAATGATTTTTCTCGAAAATTGAACCTTATACGTAAGAACTTCATACCATAATTTCGACTTTTTTTTTATAAAAAAATCATTAATTTTCCAATTATTCCACGATTTCTGAAGCATATTATTATGTTAACATGAAAATATTTATGTTCAGTGTACAAGTAAAATGCAATCATATATGCAGGCAACTGACAATCTTAAAATGAATGTCTATTTGTAAAAATGTTATATATATGTACTTCAACGGGAATATGTCTGCAGTCTACATAGAGTAAGATTAGAATTTAAAATACAGTACAGGCGGATATGAAAATTCTATTTCTTGATGAACATTCCATAAAATAAAAGGAAAAATGACAGTTAAATATTTATTCAAATAACTACTAAATGTTGGAATAAAAAATAACGTATACTTTTTAATAACTTCATTCGTAATTCAGTGACATTACCGCTACACGAAAGAAGACAACCATCTCAAACAGACGACTGTCGAGAAAAATAGAATGAGTTCTAATACGAAAACTTTAATGTTACTCACCTACTATTGGGGTTGAATATATTCGCTAAGTACGGCAATTACTTTTCCAATATGATGATGCTTGACACTGCAAGGAAACATTGACTGCTACGTATTTACATCCCCCAAATGCCAGCCATTACGATTGTTGCTGCGTTTCGAATGTGTAGTGAAACGCCTTACTTGAAACCTTACTTTTGATTGGCTTACGGGAACCAATCATCAAGCAACAATGGGTGCATGGTGTATCGTGAACAGTATTTCGAAATTCATAATGCATTTCCTTACGTTCAGATTGAATTGATTTATCTTTTTAGTAGAAAACAATTTCTATTTACCATAAAATAATACACTTACAAATAAATAATTACATGTACATATATGTTTATTAATTTGTATCTGAGATTACAGTTTATACATATATTGAAAACATGAAATACTTTTTAACCACGGTTTTAAATAATATTACATAATATATAAGAACATTATAAAGAAAAATATAAATCATAATTCAAGAATATTTTACTATGAGGAACTGTATGAATGCAGATGTTTCGATCACGATATCTAGTTGGATAGTTGGCCTATATGGTCATTCCTTTCAATGTTACTCTAATTCCAAGTTGTGAATCTGAAATACATTAATTATATAATATAACGCCACATGTAATAATTTCAATTGAATAGTATACTAATTAAACAAATAGAGAGAATACGTACTTCTTGAACTTTCTGCATTTCTTGTGTTAATAAATTATCTAATATTTCTTGGAATCTTTGTCTGAGTTTAACATTTTCAATGTTAGCAATTTCGAGCTCTTGTTGCTGCCTTCGTTGTCGTAATTCAGCTAATTCTGCATGCAATGTTGCGAGACGTGTTTGCAACGAATCTGAAATATTTAAACACAAAACTGTTAGTAGCTGTGCAACTTCATCTTTTTAATTAGTAACATATATTTTATAAATAAGTCTTCAATGATACCCTTTGATGTTGGAGCAGGAGGTGATTCTGTGAAATTATCTGGAAGAATATACTCCGGTTGGAATGGTTCCATTTTTGGTACTTTTGATGGCGTTATATCTGCAGGTTTTTCTGTTTCTGTTTCAGTATTATCATTTTGAAACATTTCTTTGCTAAATTCCGTAACAAGATTACTATTTGTATTCGTATTATTATTAGATCTTTCAGAGTATGTGGCTTGCATGGAGTTAGAATCTGATACTCTACTATCAGCAGAAAGACGACTATTTTCATCCAATTCCATAACATTTATATTTGCTTCTTCATCGTCATCTTCACTATCACTCACAGGTTCACCAAATATATCATGTTCAGCTATAAAGAGAGAACGAAAAATATTTGGATTGAAAATACACTGCATTTTTTTTGTCATTTTTATATTTACATTTATATTACTTACCAACATCAAGGCTTTGAGAAGTGTTACCATTAATACTTTCTCTTTTAGTTTTTACTGTGCCAGACGATGATACCTTGCTTGGTTTTGACTGATCCTCATCTTCACATATTACCTCCCATTTAACATTAACTGCATCGTTATCTACTCTTAATAATCGTTTTACTTCTTTCTCAATTTCTGGAGCTTCTACATATTTCTTCTTTAAGGTTTTTCTAAACCTCCTGCGCCTTACATTCTTAGTAGGAGGTGTTACCCCATGCGGCCATAAGAATTTTTTGTCTACTTTATTAGGATCCTTTTTCTTTTGTCTCACTGGTGATTCTTCATCTGTTGTTGTATGATCGTCTTCTTCTTTACAAATTAATAACTGCAAACATTAAAAATTATAAATAATTTATATTAAGTTATATTTATATATATTTTCATACCTGACATATATCAGCCGTCTTATAAAAGCTTTTATTGTCAATGGTTTTCAGAGATTCCACAATGGTAGGCAAATCGACAACCTAGAATTACAATGTATTGTACAGATTAATCTACATTGCTGTAAAGACATTTTATATAACCAGGTTCTAACTTTACAGCATTAAATAAAAAATCTATTATTTTTGTATGTTACCTTGGCATGAAGTACCCAGTAATCGAATCTAACCTCTCCATAACGCAGATCAGGCTCTAATTTTATACTCAGTCTATCTTTCAAAGGTAAACCACTTCGCAAAGTTTCCCGTAAAACTCTTGAGGGTTCCTTAAAAGAAAGAAAGAACGAATATTCAATAATGCATTCTGCAATACATAACATATATTTATTTTGTTACAGAGTATAACCTCAAACAATTTAAGATAACAATATTATGTATTTAAGATAAAATGAAATTACCGGTGGTAAGCGTAGAACAAATTGGCTTTCTAACTCAACTGGAGGTTCAGAGCGATTTTTATTATCGGTATTCGGATGACGATTCATGGTTATTTTTTCAATATTTTCAGTTACAATTTTAGCATCAAATGATGTATTATATTTTTAATCGATCAATCAAACAATTAACACGATTCAGTATAATTCCGCTGTAAGTAATTAGTAATAAACGAATTTACAAGTATCAAACAAAATAAAAGACAACAATTACGTTCTACTTGACAAGTAAACACATTGATAAATCTACTTTACTGAACTAAGCGCAATATGATCAGATAGATTAAAAGCGCGGCGCTCTAAGTAGGTAATACTATTATCACAGCTAAGTAATTAAGTGTAAGAAAATCGATAGGCATATTGGTGAAAAGCGGATTAAATTAATTCGCAACATTTAATTGAATTATTTATACATGGAAGAAAATGTGAAAGAAAAAGAGAAAATGTTTCCTCTTGCTGTCGTGACGTCAGTTATGACGTAATAACTAACCAATGTTCACTGCGTTCAATCTAAAATATAGATAGCGTTTCATTTAGAGCTCCCTTAGTCCGGCTTTGAACGTTACGACGTATTGTTTAAATGTTTGATGTACAACTCTTGATCCCGATACAATATTGTATGTAAAAATTATTTCATTAATATTTGGTTCTCCAATATTCTCCCCATGTCCGATGTAACATGCGAAAGTACACATGGGTATCAATATTAATAAGTTCCGGTAAATAAATTTTTAGCTACGATTTGAATAATTGATATAATCATATCACTTTCCATGTTTGCGAAACTTCGTTGTCGAACAAGTTATCGTTCGTTTCTCATTTTTTTTTTCGCTTTCAAGCAATAATATCTGTATGCGTGTACATTGCGCACTTACATCAATAATCTCGATCCATCGAAGCATCGTTCACGCGCAAATTTCTAAAATCTTTCTTGGAGAAAATGTATTGAATAGTATAGACGAAAGAGATTGAAACGATATTCGTTTAACTGGAACATCGTATTCTTAGCTCCGTTCAATATTTCATTGATCGATTGAATAATGAATTTGATTGGATCGTATTAATGTGTATAATTGTTTCATTGCCACAGCGGAACGGTCACGTTACTTTAGGGATCAGTTCTCAACCCACGGTCGGCCGATATTGGTTCCCCATTGCTTTTCCATCAATAACGAAGAATGCGTTCGCGACACACGTATTATGCGTTGTACATTTTCATTTTGAATAACTTAGCAGGTCCATATGTTTATAGTTAAGCTTTAACAGCGGTTGATCAATGGAACCAGACTTCGCGCTCGCGCCGTTGTCCCTCTGACGTTCGTGTACATTCGCTTTCTTGCTTCGAATGTTTGTAATTATATCTGTGAAAAACGGCTTGACCCGCAAAGTGCGTTGGATCCGTGAATTCGTCTAACCCGGAATGGTGATCCCAACATCCGTTCCACCGCCGTTTCTGTTCTAATATTTGTCCTTCATGTGTTAATTAATTGTCGTAATATAAGAAGTATTGACTGGTCGAACGGTTGTTCGAAATCAGGTAAGTCACGAATGCTTTATATAATATTTTTCTTCTCACATTGTGCAGCGAATAACGTCGTTCTTGTTTCGATAAAATGATTGACTTTTGTGATCGTGATAACACTTCAAAGAAATTAGGCGATACGAGCAAATCATTTTGTATGTTATTTGGGATTTTCGTGTTCCAATTCCTTGTGTCACTTGGTCAATTATGTTGCTTATACGAGTGTAGCTGGTTCGCAAAAAGATGTAACGCAAGCGATTGTTATAACGCGGTATATATAATTAATTAACATTACATTGCACTTTATAATGACATGCATTGCGTGTTACGTATTTTGTTGTTTTACGTTATTATTTTCTAATTTGGATAGATAATAGTCTGATAATAAATGTACCAATTTTTTATTTATATCATCTATATTTGTTCCTTTTTTTTATTTTTTCGTTATTTGTTTCATCGTATGGCGATATCTGCAAATAGAATTTTCTTTTACTAAGAATGAATGTGTAGAAAGATCATGAGCTATTGCCTGTTTTGGAATTTTAATGTGTCAATATTTTTTAGATCTACAATGAGTTCCCAACCAATTGTGGTACCCGGTGGTGATCACCGATCTCAATCAGAAACTCATTCTGTCTCTGTTGGAAGTGCTTCTGATTCATTTAAAACCATGACACCACCGAATGTTAGCCGATCACTTAGTAATCGTAAGTATAACCTGGATTATATAACATTCAAACTTGTTTTTCTATTACAAAAGAAAATAAACGTCTTACAATGGCTTAAAGATAAATTTTTATTTGATAATGATAATGATTTTAATTTTATTATCTATACAAATAGTTATATGCCACATGTTAACCGAAAGAAAATAAAAATAATTTTTATGTAATGCGATATTTTACTGATATTAAGTTAATCATGTGTAATTGATTTAAAATTTTTTATGTGCATTTGTAGTTTATTATTAGTTAAAAAGTATTTCTTCTACACATATTTATATTCCCAAAGTTTTAACAGTAAGACTTTTACTGAAGTATTGATAGCATAAATGATTGTCATTTAAAGGTATTAGTGACAGTGGATGTGGTACTTTACCAAGTAAGCTAGGTAGGCTTATTAATATGGATTGTGTGTATACAGTAGTAAGCCTCAGTATTAGAATCATGAAAATCAATAAGTAGATATGTGTATATACATATGTATAATACTATTTCCAGATTACACATATTAGTGTTTCTTCATTTCAAAGAACTTGTTATTTCGTTATTTTACGTTATTAAACAACTTTTCAGCAACATTTATGATACATAAATCAAAGACATTATTATTCTAACATAATCTCCATTAAAATCATTTATTATGTGATAACATTAACACTTTATTAATATTACATGAAATACAATAATATATCACACTAATAGAAACATTAAAATACCATCTTATCATATGTATTGGATTAACATAATACATTCATGCTGTTAGCACATTATTCACATTTATAGCATATTATGTAATAAGAATACGTAGTTATAAGATTGTTTGAAAAATATTATGTGTAAATTAGAGAATGTTGTATTTTTTAATGGTTGTAATTATATCCTCTGCATGAAGTATTGTGTAATGTTTAGATACAGTATATCTGAAGCATATATATAGTTTGCATTGGTATTTAATAATAAGTCCTTTGACTAATGTAAAAATTTTAAAAACTATAATTTCTAATATGTAATGTAATAGTATATAGTTGTTTTATAGTATATCATATTATTTTTTTTTAGTGCATGCAACCTTTTTTGCAAGACTGCATATTATCACATGCTGTAGTATGTATACACATTTTTAATGCTAAAATTTCTTTGCTTTGGCAATCGAAATAAATTCAATTTAACATTGAAGCTATCGTTGTATATAATTATGTGTTATTGCGAATTCTGTCTTTGAGAATTAATGTTATTAGTGATTCATAATTAGTATTGCTGAAATAAACTTATATTTTAGAATGCGATACAGTGTAATTTAATGTTAGTATCTTCATTATATTAGCTAATTGTTACATAGTTTATAGTTCGAAAGTTTGAAGAGTCTCTAATTTAAAAAGAACATAGATTTACATGTTTCAAAAGATATAATGTTCTTAAAGTATTGGAAAGATATATTGGTAAATAGTAATTATGACTGAAAATAAACTAAATATATAGAACCAGTGGATCAACAACTTCGACGAAGCAGTGCTCAAGTACAGTCTGCAACATTACCTAAACTTCCATCAACAGAGTCCCTATCGACAAGTGTAAATTTAACAACTGCTGCTCCTCCACTATCTCCAGGTATAAATATAAAGTTACATTAATATCATAAGTGGGCAGTAATGCGAAAAATTTGCCAGGTGCTTCTTAACTTTTTTGTGAATAAATACTCTTCCTTACTTGTTCAGGTAGTTGATTAGCTGTAAGAAACTGCATTCTTTTATTTCTTGTTCGGCTTTACAACATTTACCTATGTATTATGCATATATTGTAATCTTTAAATTTTATAATGTAATCTTTGTACATTGTATAGTCTCCTTTATCATGACAGATTATTAAATATGTGTATTAAATAGATCACGACTATAAGCTCCAAGCAAAATGATGGTTTCTTATAGTTATTACATATAAAGTTTATAATTTATAAACATTGTAGTAAATATAGAAGTACAGGAAAATATGCTAACCGCATAATGAATTATGTTAATAAAATTATGTTACGTACAATACTTTCATTTGTATAAAGTACAAAATTTGCATTGTACTTTGTAACGAATAAGCTGCATCTTGATTTAAAGATTTATAAGTCCCTTAACTGTACGCTTTTTTCATAGAATGATAATTTTGTATTTTCAGAAAAGTATAGAGATTGAACTTGCCCATGCTTGTAATGCGAATGTTTTAAGCTGGATTATATTTCTGGCTTTTAGTTTTAATTAATTGTAAATATCAATGCAATCACAAATAACAAAGAATTATATCAGGTTCTTAAATTGAACTGATTGAATCAGTTGCAGTCTTATAAGTTTTTCATACAATGATTCATGATATCATTTGTCAAATTTTATTAAATATTATCATTTACATGTGTTAATCATCTTAGAAAGCACACCTTAATTTAAAATATTGAAGAGAGTCTCTTTATAAGAAACGTTAAATTAATATTTACTGAAATATAGTAACTTTGTTTAATAGCTTAACATATTAATTCAAATATTAAATTAAATATATATTATTAATTAATACATCGTAATCATTATAAAATGGAAAATAATTGTTTGATGCTTCAAAAAACCATTTTAATATATTATAACCGATAACCTTTACAAGTGTAATTGTTTCTAAATCATTGTGAAATTAATATTTAAATGATACTTAATTAAATAATTTGAGGAATCTATTTGTTATAGGACTATCTGCGATGGGGGAAGCTAATCAAAAAACTGATAATACATCTGATAAGGTAATTGATATCCTTCTGATATTCCTATTCAATTATTTTATGAAATAATGAAATAATCTTATTACATTATTTTGTAGTCTTTAGATTCTTGTAAATTAACACGAAAAGAATCATATAAGGCTCAAAGAAAAAATTATCGAATGGAGAAGAAACGTGTGGCTAATGAACTTCTTAGTTCATTTAAAGATCCAACTGTTATTGTGATGAGTGATTGGCTTAAAGTCCGTGGAACACTGAAGAGTTGGACAAAACTGTGGTGTATTTTGAAGCCTGGTTTACTCTTGCTGTACAAAAGTCCCAAAATAAAAGTGCTCGTCTATGTTATTCTTAATGTAACATTTGATTTTCTTATTTCACTTAAACTTACATCTATATAATTGTTACAGAGCAATCACTGGGTAGGAACAGTTTTATTAAATACGTGTCAAGTGATAGAACGACCAAGCAAAAAAGATGGCTTTTGTTTTAAGCTATTTCATCCTTTAGAACAATCAATTTGGGCTCCGAGAGGTCCAGAAAAGGAAGCTATTGGTAAATACCTATTTTTCTGTAAGTTATGCAAAGCAACTGTTTAGAAAAAATATAAGATATATTTTTAGGTGCTGTTGTACAACCTTTGCCAACTTCTTACCTGATCTTTAGAGCTCCTTCACAGGCAGCTGGTAAATGTTGGTTGGACGCGCTTGAATTGTCTTTGCGTTGTTCTTCACTAATAATTCGTTCTACAAGTGCATTGCCTCGTACTTTGCCACACGATACCACAACAACTCATGAAACTCAGTGGAGTGAAGCAGATTATGAAAAACATTTTGATGAACATGGTAAGTTCGTGAAAAGAATATCTTCATGTAAAACTAGTTTCGCATTTCATAAGTAACATTTTAAAACCAAGCTAATAATATTTACTTTCAAACCTTTTTACATACATTTAATCTTAGTAGCAAGAACATACAACTACATTTAGAAAATTATTTGACTCTTTATATTCTGAATGTATTTTAATTCTTAGCACTTAGAAATCTCCTCTAAGGAAACATTTTAAATGCAATATTTAAATCTCAAAATGCAAAATTTTATTATAAATGATAGCAGTAAAAAAGAAAAAATCACATTCAGAACATAAAGAATTAATTAAGGTTTGTTCTTGGGGTTACAAATATTAACAATCTCATTATTATAACTCCTTCCCTGTCATCTGTTACCTTAAACACTTGCTTCCTATATCCATAGTATGTTTATCTAATTATGCTCCCCGATCTCCTGCAACGCCTCAAAGACGTTTACTGTCATGCCCGCAGCCATTCCTACTTAATACAACAGACACTCCTAGAAGTGCTTGTCCTTCGCCAACCCCCATGTTTCAACAGTTGTATCATGCAATAGCTTATTGGGATAAGCGGTTTTGTGATAGATCTCCAACACCTGCCACAGATACAGATGTAATCGAAATTTCAAGTTCTGTGGGAACATTAGGTGATGGAGATATATATCCTGATAGATCTCACGTTGAAATTAAAGCTTTAAAACGTGTAATATCTAATAATCGGCGCATGACTCTTCCCTCTATACACGTCCTTGAGTATGACACCCCACAAGTAGTAACGCTAGACCCTATGCACTCCTCACACACAGACCTGGACGACATTAGTCAACCAGAAAATGGAGTGGCTGCTGATGCAGAGATTAGTGCTTCGGACAGTGAATCTGAAGGATCAGCTAAAGAAGATCAACCAGAAACTATCAACGAGACACCTTACGTAGCAAATGAAAACGAAATTCTTGGATCAGTAAGATAATACTACCACTAAATCATGTAACTTCGTGAATTATATTTACGTTAAAAATTATTGTGTTTAATTAAATTTCAATATGCAGGCCGGGGAGGTAGTCACTGAATTACAAGAAGAACAAAAATCATTGATATGGTTTCTGATGAAACAAGTTCGACCAGGCATGGATTTATCCAAAGTTGTTTTGCCAACTTTTATTTTAGAACCTCGCTCATTTTTAGAGAAGCTGGCCGACTCTTACTATCACGCAGACTTATTGTCTCAGTAAATATAAACGTTTACAATTTCTTAAATATAATATACGTATGTGCAATTGCAAGCATATGCAATTAATTTTTCGTTCTTACAGAGCAGTGCTAGAAGATGATGCGTTTACACGTATGAAAGGTGTTGTTAAGTGGTATTTATCTGGTTTCTATAAGAAACCTCAAGGTTTAAAAAAACCATATAACCCACTATTGGGTGAAACTTTTCGCTGCTATTGGCAGCACTCTAATGGTTCAAGAACCTTTTACATAGCTGAACAAGTAAGCCTTTTAACATTTTAATTAGACCTTTTAAAAATCACTAGAAATGCTTATAACTTATCTTTACTCAGTTATCTCACCATCCACCTATATCTGGTTTCTATGTAACAAATCGTCAAGATGGGTTTACTATTAGCGCTACAATTATTGCTAAATCTAAATTTTATGGTGAGTACGCTGTAATAAAATAAAATGTTTACTTGAAGCTAGTATTTTATATAATAAAGTTACGGTTTTCCTTTTCAGGGAATTCGACATCAGCAGTTCTAGATGGTGTTGCAATATTAACGATGTTACCTAGAGGAGAAGATTATACCATGACTATACCTTACGCTCATTGTAAAGGTATCCTTATGGGAACATTATCTATGGAACTAGGTGGAAAAGTTCAGATAAATTGCGAGAAAACAGGTTATCATACTGAAATAGAATTCAAGCTTAAGGTAATTTACATTATATAAAATGTAAGTTATAAATATATAATTAATTTATTATTCTTGCGGTAGCCATTCCTTGGTGGAGCAGAACAAATGAATCAAGTATCAGGTGCAATACGTCTAGGAAAAGAGACTCTTGCTACTATATCAGGGTATTGGGATGGTCAAATAGTAATTACAGATAAAAGGGCTGGAGTACGTAGTATATGAATATTTGCAGTACTAATAATATTAAATTAGTGCAATAACGTAAACCGATATCATATTGATTAATTTTATAGCAAGAAAGTATATTCTTCAATCCAACGCCAGAAGTGCGCAGGAAGAGATTGAAAAAATATACAGTACCCCTAGAACACCAAGGTGCATGGGAAAGTGAAAGATTGTGGTACGATGTTACTCAAGCAATCAATCGAGATGACCAAGTTGCTGCTACTGATGCAAAAACTCATTTGGAAGAAGCGCAAAGAGAACGTGCCAAAGAACGAAAACTTAAAGGTCAAGAATGGATTCCTAAATATTTTGTTCAGGTACTAGGTCTCATTCGTATAAAAAATAAAAATTTTTCTTTTATTTGATAGCATTACTATTTTTTATTTAAATATATTCATGTATTCTTATAGATCTTAAAAAGTAACTTTCTGTTAATAGGATATTATAACGGGGAATTGGGTATATCGACATGCCGATGTTAGACCATGGGATCCTAGAAATGATGTTGTACAATACGAACAAGAATATATCGTGCGTACTAAAACTAGGCACAAAACACCGATTATGCGTACCGGTAGTATTGTTTCTACTGATCCTCAAACACAGGTACAGGAATGCAAAAATTAAATGACAAAATGCATGTTCGTATTTCACGTACAAAGTAATAGTATTAAAACCATTTTACCTAGTCACCTGCATGCTGAAGAAGATTTCATTATGTATGTACTGCTATCTCAATGTTTATAGAGTCCAATATATTTTATAATAAATTTATAACAGTAAATAAAGCTTACTAAACATATATTCTTCTTACATTTTTTATAGAATTAAAATTGTGCATAATTCAGTTTATTGTTTTTAACGTTGTGATACAGAAAATTCAATTATGATAAAATATGAATAATTATGTTATTTGTATTACAGGTTCCGCTTCTTCAGGCAGAGTCTCGTTCTTCGCTCTCTGTATTGAAGTCTTCGAAAAGACAATTATCGAACAATCTGCCATTAACAGAAACAGCTCATGATTCTGGAAGTTCATCTGCAGAAGGGCATTCAGATTCTAGTCAGTCGATAGGTAAAAGGAAACGTTCTACTGCAAGGTAAAGCTTTCAGTATTATAAATACCAAAGTAATAATAATTAATAATTGTATAACATTTTTAAATGATCGAGTATTCATTTTTCAGAATAATAGACGTTATGAAAGATGTAGAACGTCAAATGTTACAATATGGTGAAAAACTTAATCGCATACAACACATAATAGAGCAGCTCGCTATAAGGCAAAGAGAACAAGGTGATCAACATCATACAATAAGTATGTTAAAGAATTTCATAGATACAATTCTAGTTATTGTAATAGTTCTGTCTGTACAATACTTTGCAAAAATATGGACCGCAGAACCCAGCGGGGGTTGAAGATTGCGATAGGATATCACAGTGTATATTTTATATATTATTTATCTTCTCTCAATTCGAGTTGTCAGCTTTTATCCAAAAAGCCTTAATGGGAGAGACCCCCTAAAATTTAACGTACCTAATTTACACGTGTTTTCTGTGGAGGCAATAAACCACGTTGTTTTTGGTAGAATATTACTGAAGAATAGAGTAAAGGATCCAGAGGTTCCAGGGAGTATCTGTAATCACAGTGCAATCTTCTTTTACTTATAATTTTTAGGAGCTTTAGTTGACACTATTGTAGGACAACATTTCCCTCGCATTAAAAAATGTAGAATTCATTTTCTAGTAACTACTATAAGACATTAAGTTCTTGTTGAACGGTCCTCACAGTAACAATGAACTGTTAAGGGTAAGGGGATTAACTTCACAATTTCTTTGAGCTTATCATGTACATAATATTTTATATCGTACTGCACGGAAAGTAATTATATTTATTCAGAGAACCTAACGATGTTGTAGTCTTTAATGCATTCGCTCAATAGTAAACTGTAATATTAATAAGATTCTTGTAAAAATGACAGCTATATTATATTACTATAATAAATTTAATTATATTACCTTGAACTACAAAGATTATAAAAAAAGGGGGATTGCAGTTCCAAGTTAAATATAATATAAATTTTACAGTGGTTACCGAAAATAATAGCTTCGAAATATTAGTGAATCAGTCAGCAGTATTGTTATTAAATAGACAATATACAGTAAATTTGGAAAGTTAATATTGTCGATACAACATTAATGAAAAAATTCGTCCAAAATTTTGAAATAGGAGCTTAAGCTGTAATTTTGATTTTGTATATTTATATTGCTGAATTTATTGCAACATATTCAATAAAAGTCGGTGACTTCGTTTTCATATTTAGGAAGACCTGCATGAGAAATACTACTTTATACTCTAGCAATTTAAAATAAATTTTAATTATATATGCTTATAAATTATTGCAACTCTGAATGCAAGAATGTTGATTTTTTTTAGTGAAGTACTTTCCTAATAAAGATATGAAGAAGATATTAGTCATTTTGGTGTTAAAGTAAATGATATATGTATATATACAATACATATGTATATGTATATATATATGTGTGATTTGAATTTTTAATGATGTTTCATATCAAGTTATAAAAATTGATAAAATCTGTTTAGATCTTTAAGCAACATTGATTTGAAAAAAACAACGTACAATAAAAATTGATGCTTTTATAATGTTATATTTTAGTAACAAAAGAGTCCTTTTCAAATACAATTTTGTTCATAGATATAAAATGTGCATATTTAAATAAAACAGGCAAGAATGTTTTTATACATATAATGATGCATTCATTAATATAGATACATTTTTTGCTTGGAGTTAAATATTAGTACAACCTACTACTATATCAAATTTGAATACCGTCTTCTTTTATACAGCCTTTTACATATAATTAGTTACTGTTCTTTTGCATACAATAAGTGTGTATTGGCAGATAATAAGTACATTTTTTTTATATATACAAAAAATTGATTGCAAATGCCGTTTATCTCATTAATAATTGACAATTACCATTAATTTATATTCTTAGAATTTTGCTTCATATTTAAAATACTAATGTCCCAAATCATAATAAAACATTCCTTAATTGTTAGAAACTTTTAACCATATATAGACCAATCTTTTGTTACTAGATTGTAATGTGTGTTTTGTATTTTTAAAACACTACAATAGCTCCAAACTGTTCCATGAATATCTTAATGAATTTCGGTAATACAGTTTGATAAATTCCACAAATATTTATTAAATTTGTTAAAATTGATTAATTGAATCTACCAAGTTAACATTTATTACAGTTTTAATATTGTTAATGATCGTGTATGGCCTCCGTGATTAATATTGTCATATTTTGCACAAAGATTTGTAATAATTCTTCATTTAATTATTTCGACTTATGGTTATTTAATTGTTTATAGTTATAATTATACGTAAGAAATTCGGAAGATGAATCAGATTAGAATAATCCAAAGAGTCAGTAATGATACAAAGTAAATTACATTGTTAGCTCTTATCACATTTCACATGTGGTGCTGTGTACTATGGAATAGATTATTTTTTGTAATATTTACCGATCCAATATATTTTCGGTAGAGTACCTGATATTTTTGTATTATAGTTTAATTAAGTTTTATGTCTATGAAAAAATTAGAAAATTTTACTAATATTATTCATTGTTCAATATTGTTAATTTCGTTAATTATTACGTTTTAAAACTTAATTGATGATTATAATTTATTAGAATTAATCAAGCAGAAAATAATTAACAGGAACTGGTTAATAAGATATATTATAAATTCTAAATATAAATTATTTA